TCGACAAAGTCCCGACAATGATCGTCGGGATTTCACAGACGCGCGCGATCGATCGATCTATAAACTCGCGGAAACGGACTGAAAAGTCCGGTTCAGCTTGAAAACCATTAACCGCTCGCCACTCCATTATAGATACAACTCTCCGATATTCGTCGTAGTTATCGTTATTGATTGGTAGATCCCGTTGGTGCGACTACCGCCGCGTGTCTCGAGCGATGGATTGATGTACAAATCGATGGAAGCAGGCTGAAAAATTCCGCCCAGCTTGAGACCGTTTAGACCGCTCGCAGATATCGGGCCGCGATATCGGATCGCTACAAATTACCAATTAATCCTGGACGCCGATTCTTTTTTCATTTTAACCACAAGAATAGTAGTGGCGACACGCACGTAAGGTTATTAACATTACGGTAACATTTCCCTGAAAAATACTTTTCTCCGTTATTCTTGTGGTTGAAATGAAAAAAAAAAAGGATATCGTTGTCCCCGAAAATAACTATATATTTTTTTCTCAGTGTAAGCAACGAAGTGCGATCCGCGGTTACCTGGCCAGAAATTGTCATCGGGTCAACCCCTGATTCTGAGTAAATTTCTAGTTAGCTAAATAAGATCGTATTCGCGGGCGAGAGATTGATATTTTTCACATTTTGACTGCACCCAGCGAGAGAGAGAGAGAGAGAGAGGGTAGAGGAGAAGAGAGACGAACTGTAAGCTCATATAAATATAGCACGTCTATTCATATTCCGACTGTCTAAAGAGATTTCGTAAAATATATACGAGATAAGATCGGAATAACGTTCATTACGTCGTTGATTATGTCGGTGTTCGGTGATAAACGCACACGACGTGCGCTCGCGCGGGGTATCCTTGATCGCCTCGGAGAAAAAGTTCACTTTGCGGACGTCGCGATTACGCGTCTCTTCTTCGCCTCTCTTCGTCTTATTTCACCTCGACACGCCCTCTCTCTCTCTTCGCGTATGAAATGTATTCCGACTGCGAACGACGGCGAACGCTTCCGGAAATATTTACGATTCGAGGGCAATACACGCAAAACACTAATATTAAGGTAATTGCGCGCTCGAGCTCACCGTTCGAAATAAAAATAAGACACCGAGATGGCCTTGCGAGATGCCGTTGCCAAGGATATTACCGATAGACGCGATGATAAGGATGCACGCGGCGGAAATACGCAAATAGGCGATCTGGTTTTTCCAGCTTTTCGCTTAGCCGACACGGAAAGTGATCGAGAGTGCGCGCATCCCTCGTCGAATTCTATAGTTCCTTTTCTCTCGCCGGTCGAACGGACATTACTAATAGAGGATGTGTTTTTAGTACACACTGAGAAGAAATTGAAATTTGGCGAAGCAAACGTTTCTCGCAAACATTTTCCCCGATATTTATTGGTTGGAAAAGAATTTGGCGGAAGTGACGGAATAGTTTTGCGAAATACAGCCAAGGAGAAGGAATCTGGTTGCAATAACTAGAAAAGGAACAACCAGATGCGTTCTGGTTGAAGGGAACAGAATTTCCGATTCTCATGACTCAAATGAGATACCTACAATCGGAAATTCTATTTCCTTCAGCCAGAATGCACTCGGTTGTTCTCTTTCTGATTACAGCGAATACAACAAAGAATACAACCAGATTGTTCTGCCAAAGTTTTCTCATTAATCGGTTCATTTGCTAAGGAATCAAATCTTATTGTTTCACCGTATTTAAATAAACCTTTATTTCAGTGAAGTAACAACCTTATATTTCGCAAATAAATTCTCAAGTCTTTCTCAGTGTGGAGAAGCGCAGCTCGTGAGTGAAGACGCGAAACGCTCGAGACACTCGACGATTCTTCGCGCTCTTTTCGCCGGGAAAAACCCACGGTTACTAAATAAACTCCCTTATAGTCGAGTCGAGCTCGATGAGGATGTCTAATGGATATCGGCTACTTTTTCGCAAGTACATCGTATTCTCGGAGCTCGGAGCGAGGTATATCGGAATCTCCTCCGGCGAGGAACGTCATTCGGCAGGTGAAATGTCAACCTCCTCGGCATCCGTGCTTAAAAAGTCGCGGGCATTTAATTCAAGTGGCCGGACGCGATTTTAGTTTCTTCCAATGCGAGAGAGCCAACGAGAACACGACGTACTCGACGTCGATTAAGACGAGCGAGAAGCGACAGCGATGTTTGCATAAGACTCGAAAAATTCTGTCTACGCCACTGAGAGCGCGCCAACCGGTGCGGCAAAGTTGCATCGAGCTGTCGGTGCACGCCGGTGCAACCGAGCGTATTCATTTGCGTCTACGTGCAGGAACGATCATTTTTCACGGTCAACGATGCGTTAAAATGGTTGCGGAGCGGCGCGAAGAAGAATGATTGAAGGCTGGGGAAGGAATTCGCCGCAGCCCCGCAGCGGGCGTAATATCAACAAGAAAGCCGGAAGCCGAAGGAAAGAAATCACGTCGGAGATTTGCGCAGAAACGCGCGGGCGGTGGATCCGCTTCGCGCAGAAACACCAGATCGGCTCGAATGCGTAATTACTCGTCGATATGGCAAATATTGGTTAGATTAGAGTTTCGAGAGCGTTTCAATCATAAGCAAAAAATAGATAGACGGAGTATTAACTCAGCGAGGGGGCGACAGATTTAGGGTAAGAGAAGCGTACTTATAGTTCGATTTTCCGTGATATAACTATCACGAGCGGGATTGATGAGTCATGGGAATAGCATGGAAATGATGGACCATGGAAATAGTATGGAATATTACGGAAATGGTATGCAATATTACGGTATAGTGGTATATTACGGAAATGGTATGTAATATTACGGTATAGTGGAATATTACGGAAATTGTGGGAATTGATGATGAGACTAGAATTGGATGATGGAAAAAGGGTGTTATGTTATAGTTCCTGTTATTATTACAACTCTCACAGGCGCAACTCATTGTTTTCCTCCCGACAACTCAGCAATCCAAAAATAACAGTATTAAAAAGTTCTTAAAATTAATAGTGTTTCTGATAGTAAATTTAAGAATTTTACATTAAAATATTTATAACCACGGAGGTTTTTATAATATCAATGTGGTTAATTATAAAATAATTATGTTTCACATTTACCATAAAATCGAAGAACAACTATGAAATTATAATATTTTTTCGGCTAGTATTACATAATTTGTTATTTAGTTTTCATACTCAGTTATGACACGTTATAATACGTTATGAAATATTAGAAGTGTTTTAATATTTAATAATATACAATATAATTATTAATATATATGTGACATTGGAGTTGACAACGATGTATAGCGTTAATTGCGAATATTAGTGAAATACTTAGAAATTTATATACTTCTTTATCTGTGTATTTCTATTAGATCAACTGATGCGCATAAAAATATAGCATTGATAAAAAAAATTTTTTTAATAATATTTTTATATTTGTAATATTATGTATACATGTTTTCCTCAACTTCGCTTCCAATTAACACTTATTATTTAAGTAGTGAAATCAATATATGAGAATGTAATTTTGCTTGGTAAATACTAAACTTACGAGTGTCTTCTTGAATGCATCACTGAAATTACAACAATGAGTTTACAACTAGTAACATAGCGGAATAACCTATTTTCGGAAATTTTAACTTTGAATCTTCTAATCGGAACTTACGCTGCATGTGGGAAAACCCGGGAAAATTTCTATTCGGGTCGCGATGTATCTCTCGCGCGGTATTCCATAATAATGGGACATAAAAGGTGCATCGTAATTACCACAATTCGCACAATGCACTTCGAACGGCGGAGATAGGTCGATTCAAATTGGCACCGATCTCTGTCTCTCTTTCTCTCGGCGACCGGTCAGTGGCGGTTAATTGATCGTAATAAAGAAATCAGAAAGCATCGAATCGACCGCAGACTTCACGTAATTACAGTTATATCCTCCCCCCTCTCTCTCTCTCTCTATCCACGCGGTGTAAGATCTCGAGACCTGAATAATAAAACGTCAGTAATTCATTGTCCACGTTCCATTATCAGCGCGAATAATGGCGTAAGGAAAGACGGAATAAATCAAACAAGATGTTTACGAGCGCTTAAAGTAAGCCACATTCGCGTCGAAAGTCTCTCAAGCTCACGGATCGGGTCGGTGACTGTTAATGCGACCGTACACGTACCTCGACGTGTCCATCGAAGTACTTCATTGCTTCTTCCATTTTTATTACATTATCGAAAGATAAAAATACTTTGAATAATGTATACACGATTGCGAGCGACATGTGCGCGCACACGCGTTTCCGTTCATGTAATCAAGGAAATTCCATTTAGATTTCCCGCCGGAAAACTAGGACGGTAATCAAGTTCAGCCTACTTAAGCAGCGGGTGTGCGATAATCTCTCGGGAATCCAGTAGACGTTCTTGATGCATGTAATTATCCGAGCGCGCGGCTACTATGTAACACGTGAAAAATTTACCGCCGTCACACCAGACGCTCGTAATCGTATCGTTCCATTTTTTCACCGAAGCGAATTCTTCGATTCTACCGCAGCCGTCTCTTGCCTATTTCTCGTCTGATTTTCCCGCCGTGCGTCCTCATGCGGCAAATCGATCCCGGGTCGTCCGAGACGATGATTTCGATGAGCGATCGACCCGCCCACAACGGAGGAAACAATTTGGCCAGAATAGCAAATTGTTTGTTAATGCAGCGACGGCAAAGGCAATTTGTTTGGACGACAGAAAGATTCGTCAAGAATATTCTTAATTGCTGTTTGCTGATTATATGGGCAGCAAAATAATTTGGTTACGCCAACCAAGTCTCATCGCCGTACGCGGCGACGTTACAACAGCAAAATTACATTTTCCATGTAACCAAAGACTTTTCGCTGTCGTTATATTAACAAACGACACGCTGTTCCAGCGAAACTCGTTTTCTCCGTATAATATCACCGTCGATTATTCTCCGATCCCGTCTTTCTCCCCCTTCCCGGCAATAACCGTCTCGCTCTTTTCCGCAGGAGGTGTTGCTGGCGCACAGCAAGTCCGCCGCTCATTGCGAGCCGATCACCGTGATCCTGGCGGAGGTGGAGGCGCCGGAACTCGCGGCGCTCCTCGGCTTCGTGTACACCGGAAGCGCGACGGTGCCGCGGATCCGACTGGACGCGTTCCTGCGCGCCGCCGAGGCTCTGCGCATTCAGCTGCCACCGGTGCCGCCTGCAGTGGTGATGACGTGCGGGGGGGACCAGGCGGACTGCAAGCTGGAGGCTGACGTCAAGGACGTCAAGGTCAGCCCCAAATACCTGCAGTGCGACCAGTACCCGTCGTCCGACAGGTGGTACCGCTCGGCTAGGCCGTCGTCGTCCTACGAGTACGACCGTAAAGAGTCCTGCGGCAGGATATTCCCGTCAAACGACAGCGGGGATATCCTCGGGGACAGCAGGGGCCTTCACGAGCTCGACAATCCGGCGAGTAGATGCGCGTTCGCGCCTGCCACCTGCGCGAGCACGTGGCCGATCGGTGACTACATGCAGCAAGAACGCGCGATGGGAGATCCTCCCGCGGCGGGGAAGAGTCACGTACCGATGACGAGACCGGCGCACACCGACAAGAACGACGCGATGCTGGCCGGCCACGGTGAGCCGGCGTTCAACGTGTACCAGCCGACCACGTGTCTCCCGCCGGCCGCACCTGCTGTCACGGAGGTATACGGCGGGCTGGATCCGCTGGAGAGGATCATCAGGTCGGGGTACGAGAGGACGCGGATGAATTGCGCGGCCGACAAACTGACGGACGAGGAGGCGGCCGGCGAGTTTTGCGGAAGAACGCGCGACGATTGCGGCCGCGAGTGCCCCTACCCTACGGGCAGGATGCAGCCGTCGTCGTCGTCCTTGCAGTGCGCCGGCCGGACGAGGTCATACGAGAGGCCCGATTACGGTCAGCCGGCGGGCGAGGATCTCAGCTGCGGCGAAAGTTGTTGTAGGTGGAGGACCGCCCGCAGGCACGTAGTGGCAAACCGCGTCACCGCGTCGCCGTGGCGCCAGATCGTCAGGCCCCATCATTCACCGAGGACGAGGCCCGTCGTTGTGCCCGAACGTCCGCTCGACGATGTGAGTACACGTCGCGATATGGACTGCGCGAGTGAGCCCGTCAGTCTTTATCGGCCATCATTCGTGAAATCAATTAGGAAATTCCGCTTTCGGCGGAGCATTTTTAAACAATGACGCGTGGAAAGCGAATGCCTCGCTCACGCGTTCATGCGAAATGTGCGCTGATACGCCGTAGAATCGACTCCGAGAGCGATTGCGAATTCCGCTCGTGGTGGGCGTACTCGGGTAGCGCGCACCGAGTCGAAATTCTGACGCCGCTTTGACGCTCTCAACCGCCGTTTGACGCGCGTGGGTCAAATCGAGCGGAAAATTCAGATTACACGGTCGTTGAATCTCAAATTATCGCACACGTATAAACATAGAATTCTTTCGTTACAGTTTTGGAATTCCGGAGAAAGTTCTTCCCAAATTTCCGCGGATTTTTTCGGTTTCTTTTCGTCTTCCTCACGAAAAAGATAAATGCGGCGAGTTTTAATCGTAATATGCGTGAATTTTTCTAAACGAACTTTCCCACCTTTGGGAGAGAAACCGAGGAAATTCGCGGAAAATTGAGAAGAATTCAGTTTTTCCGCAACTTTAAAGCTATAATTTTCTTAATATGCAATATTTTTTTGTGTAGAATCAACGAATCTTCTCTTATACCTCGAATTATCTATTTTCAAAAATAATGATCGCAAGATTTTTCAAAAAATTTACCTTTCATACATTTAAAACTAGAACATCTGTATTCTGGACACATTTTGTGTTTTTTGTTTGTGTTACTTTAACGTGGAGGATACGTTAAAAAGTACACGAATATATGTTAAATTAACATATTCACCTAATTATAACATTCTACTTTTTTAAATGTTCATTTTATTAAAGTTCACTTTATTAAACCTAAAAATTTCAGCGGGACGTTTTTTAACACAAAACTTTTTACCGTGCGATAGCTCATTTCGAATTTTCCCTACGCAATTGCGCGAGCTTCTTTTCACGAGACAAAAATACCTACAGGAAGGATTATTTCAGTTCTGAATATACATCGCCGAGTCGACGATCCTCTAATCGACAAGATGTTCTGCTCTTCTCGCGGGACATATAACACTACGGTAAAAAAAAAAGGAGAGAGAAAGGAAGAAAGACAAGATCATCGTGGTACAATGTGAGAACCGGTTCTGGTGGGAATCGATAGAACAACTTCACGAACGATTACAGTTATTAACGAGACGAGCGGAATGTGTGGCGTTCCTTGGTCAGTGCATACTCGATTAGGATGCACGGAGTATTTCGGGCCACCTGTCAAAATCCCGTTGCCTGGTATTCCCACGAATGTACGAAAAGACGAGTTCTATTGTGGGAACTATGCCGTGCTTGAATATCGCTGAACGGTACGATCGAACGCTCGTGTTTGCGTCCAGTCAACGAAAAAAAAACACTTCAGACTATGAAAGAAGCTAATTCATCGGCTACGCTGTGTCAATAATTTAGGCATACCCAACGTGTTGCTCTTTTATTTTCGTGCGAGCCGATAAATGCCTAAGGTTTCTCGAGCGAGGCGGAAACAGTTCGAAGGAATTTCAAATACGAAGTATCTTCTCCACACGCGTTTGATAATGAATATAAATATTTATATTAACATGATATAATATTAACAATATTAACAAATAAAAAATTGAAAAAAAAATGAAATATTGTTGCCAAAAGTTCAAACTGTCGAAAATAACGATTCTCGTGATATGATTCGACGGGCGTACGTCGGAATTCTAATTTTAGATTTTTCGAATTCCTTGGGTTCCGATTATCTTAAAACGGCATTTGGATCTCACAATACTTTTGCAGCCCGGCCCGAAATGGATCGATTAATTCCTCATTAACTATTGCGAATTTTGCAAAATGGTACATGCTTCTCCTGTTCAAGTTCGCCCGTTTTACCGGTATGCCACGGATCTCGAGAGAAAATTACCGATCACCTTGTATACATTTCTATACACATTTTCTCTTCTCCCCTGTGCGCATCAACGCGAAAGATTAATCAGTTTTGACTTCGATTTTCCGCCGAAGATTTATGAGACCAAAGAGCCCGCGTCGTCGTCGATTGGTTCAAAGCGATAAACCTAATTTTCGCGAAATAGGACACACACGGCCAGAGTAAACCGTTACGCCCTTAATTAAAACGGTAGATGCGAGGCACGTTTGATACGACACGTCGAGCCGTCGTAACACAAGATTAACGAGGGAAAACGTCTCGATATCCCGGAACATCTATAAATCGTTCGCGAGGTAATTACGCGGAAACTGTATTTTCCGCGTCACGCAGGGTAACATCAATCGTCCAACGCGATTTTCAATCAATTAACGCGCGTGCCGAGGAGAACGGCTCTTCGGTTCTCACGGGTACGATTTTACACCCCTTCGGTTGTCCACTGAAAACTCGTAAAATGCGGAAACTCGTAAACGCTGCGTGAACTCTCCGTGAGACCGTGACGAGAAAGAAATAGATTCTTCGTTGCCTGACACGAGAATCCGTAGCGAATCTCTCTCATTTAATTGATTTATCGGAAGCGATCTTCCGATAACACGCACGACTTTCCGAAACATTTAACAGATATGCCGGTGAAGATGCGATCTCGGAAACACGTCGCGTGATTTTGCGACGAGCCGTATATACGTGTCGCAACGTGTGTAATTATTAGCACGTGTAAAATACGTGTCACAATGATTGATTTAGGCCACCGTCAGAGTTTCCTTACGAGTTTTGTCAACTATAGAAATCTGAGCGTCAGGTATCGTTGTTTCGTTAGATCCCGACTCGATCCTGTTTCTGCCTGGGTTTCTTTCCGTGAAGATTTCCGAGCCTTATCGCGTACTTATGATCGCAGGATGTCTCGCTTCGGTCGTTATCCCGCTTAACGTTATACTCGTACGCCTTCCACTAGATATTCGTGAACCGGACTAGACGATACATCGTTTCTCGAATTCCACTCGGCACACGTGCGATCACATCTTCTTTCTTCTTTTTATGGAATCAAACGACCTGACACGATTCTCTCGCGATGCGACCGCGTATATAAAAGCGGATTTGCATAAGGACGAAAAATGTTCGCATGAAATCACGTTATCCCGCTTATCGAAGACTCAGCCAGCTTTTAGCCGTCATCGAGTAATTATGCGCTCGATTAGAATGATACGGTGAGGCACGGTGAGATAAACGGAGCGGAAGCAATATACTGTGAATGATACCCCGGTAGAAAATGAATTTTATTATCTCATGTGGGTGTCCAACCGTGAGAGAGATTAAATTTATATTTAACGTTATCATTAGAGTGGCCGTTGACGCTTGCTTCTTCTTAGTGGCTAGATAATGGCTAGATAAATAAGTTTAAATTTATTTAATTAGCTGACGATCAAATAAGAGGAATTACAGTTACGAGATGAAAGGTCATAACTAATTGCCAGGTGATAATGCGACCCAATGCATCCTTAATCCGGCCTGTTTCGACTCAGGCCGACTAGATAAATTTCTATTCGGATACACGGCTGCATGGAAATACACGCGTAATCACGCGCGCAATTAATTAAACGCGTTTGCTCATTAACGGGGGTCGCTCCCGCACGGTAATGATAAGTTCATTCGTCTGTTCGTTCGATCACTGACGAATACGCCGACCGTAATTCCCTCCGGCGGTTCCTCTCCAATCGCAAACCACTCTCGCGTACTCCGCGTGAGTTGTTTCAGCTTGGCGATCGCGCGGACAGGGCGAGCGAGCGCTTAGAAACGCGCGATCGACCTTTCCGGCGCTAATCGAAATTACATACTATTACGGCGCCTGGCTAAAAGGGTTAATTGAATGAATGAACAGCGAAAACGCGCCGCACGCAACGTCGCGCGAAGAGCCGCGTCCGCTAATCGCCGGCTATTGCAGCTCTCATTGGTGCATGCGAGCATCGTCTCAACAGGTGAACAGGGTAGCCCCGTCGAGCTTCCAGCCGGCAGCCCTTCACTCGGGTCGATGTCGTTCCGCTTAATGCAGCTATCAGTTAGCCTCACTTCGGCCTGGATTTATCAGGCGCGCCGTCGTGATTGCGCGTCGCCAGCTGGCGACGCCAGCTGCGCGCGGTTATTACGGCCTTGCCGACCTGGGAAACACGCGCGCGTGTTTTCTCTTTCGACGGGATGCGTGCCGGATTTCGTGGATTTCGGCCGGTGATCGCTTGCGCAAACAGCCGCTGCAGCTTGCAGCAGCGCCGAGATCGGCCGAGATTTCAGCCCGGATAAGGACGAAGCGCCGGCCGAGATTTCCTTTCGCGCGTCGAAACCCACGAAAAAAGACCGGGTCGGGAAGAGTTCGTGTTTGCATATCTGGGCTACGTGCCGGAGCGTCCGGGGAAAAAAGATGATACATGAAATTTGCCCATATATGAGTATATGTAACCATACATGTCCACAACGGGAAAATGGAGAAACTATTGTTCACAAATTATTAATGCAAATACAATCGAAGTAAGTGCTTCTGGGGCTACTTGCGCTTCTGACATCGCACATGATATCGATGTTTAATTAAATGACACATTTTTTCCGTACAGACACGTACGATCATATGTGTCAGCATATATATGGGCAAAATTCATACGTGATTTTATATAATTATATATAATCATGTATAATCATTTTTTTCCCGAGTGCTCCCGGGAAAAATACTTGGACGTTAAAATACGGTGACGCTCGTCAGATTTTGGGATCGGAGCCACCGAGCGTAAAGTTTTCCCCGGAAAGACGTCTCGGAACGTAGCTAATTTAATTGTGCCCTTCCTAAATTTTATCGCTGTCGCAACGAATATACAGTGGCAACGATGTGATTTCGCTATAACAGCGAAATTATTTTTCTTCGTTAAAACTTCAAGAGAGGTGACCCGGGGGCGCATGTCTGTCATTTTAAAGTCCCGGTCTTCAAATTCAATTTGAAGGCGCTGCTTCTCGCGAACACTTTCCGCGTTAATGATTTAGCAAATAGTAATGATAGCTCTACGCTCAGCGTTTAAACGGCTCTTGCGGATGAGCGTCATAGAAAGTATCGGCGGCCCGGCATTCTGGAAAATAACTGAAAAACGATCAGTTAACAGGCCTCCGAGCGAACGGCAGCTGAACATAATTAAAACAAAAATAAATAATAAAAAGGGAAAACGTGTGAAAAGTAGATAGAAAAAATTAATATTGATTCAAGACTTGATTCATGACACCGTAATGCAATCCTTAGCTTAACAATACCGTTCTTCCTATATCTGATATTTTTTCCTCTCAATTAAAGGTGAAAAGAACTCAATCTGACAATAATTCATCCCGGTAAATTACGGTAAATTACCCGGTAATTTTGAGAAACTAATTAAATAGTAACTTAGAAAAATATTATAGAAATAAAAAAATTTTAATATAAAACTCAAAAGATTTAGCCTTAAGATGAGTAAAATACTTATTTAATTCATATTTTTCATAAAATATTTTAACACCGTATATTGATATATTATACATAGAGTATAGTAATTCAATAAAAATTCGATTCGTACAGTAAAGGAAACCAGATATATAGTGACTAGATAAATTAAAAGAAAAAATTCAGATACAATTTCTCCATGTAAGCAGATCTTATCGTCATATAAGATTATGTATTCTTGCTCATGTATGAGAATATAGGTCTCGAAATAATACTAATTTATTTCCCGCGCGTATAATCCGATGCGGTGAATTCCGAGAGCATGTCCTCTGATTCTACCAGGCCGTCTTTAATCCGCGGAATGCGCTGAAATATCGCGATAACCGATAACCGCGCGCGATACTTTCCACGCGAGTCGCTTCCGATCTCTCGCGGAGATCTCATCTCGGGACGGGATTTGTATTCGGGGCTGCTGCCGAGAAAATATTAAAATACGCGTCTGAATAATATGCACGTTAATGAGCTTCGCTTTCCTCATCATCACGTCGGGGTCACAAGCGCTATCGCATTCGAACTGTCGATGGCCATCGGTTAAATTGTCATACAATCGGAAACTTTCTAATTGCCTCTTTCCTCCGTTCTTCTCTGCTCACGCTCATTATGCGGAGTCCGCGTTCGCACGCATGCAGACCGGGGCAATGGAGCTGTTTTATTTAGCATTTAGCAGGTGGGAAACAGCCGATGTGCGACCAGTGGCAATGGCATGGCACGCAATTATTTTTCAACGCTGCGTTCAAATAGAAAAAGTCACGATCGATAACAGGCGCGATCATTTATTCCGCGGAACAGGTCTCGCAGGAGCTTAACGTTGCTCCCCGAAAGAGGAGGATGTCATTTATAATATCTCGTTCGTCGGGATAAAAATTAGAAGAAATTTACGTAGCGTCACACGTTTCTAGCACGCGACTTCCGTGATAGACTAAAAATCGGTTCGCAAGCTTGTAAATGACTAATGATTACTCGAATTGACGAGCGCAAGGTAGACAGACACGGTCGTATGGCCGTTCTGCACAAATGGCGCAACACCTTGACATTTCGGAAGTATCTTTCATCGACCAGCACAAGGAGACGGCTGCTAAAAGCGACCGTGACTGAAGTCGCGATCGAAAAAGTGACGGCGCTTGGAATTTTAATGTGACTTTTTCTAGCTCGCAGAAACATCCGACAAACGCGACGGTCTCGATTACGAGCGAGTATATATTATAATGTCCGTTTCTTTTTTCTGCCACTGCAAGATTGACAAGCATGAACGAGTCCGATTTAGCAAGTCCCTCTCGCAACGTTTCGTAGAGTTCGCACGTGTACATGACAAAAGTGTTGTGTAAATTTAACGCATCTCACATGTTTCGAACGGTGCACACAGATTTGTGTGTTAATTTAACACAAGATGAATATGTTGAAAAGTGACAGAAAATTAATATCCATAACATGTTAATCGACGTTAAAGTATAAAATATGTTATTTTAACATTTGCAAGTGTTACTTTAGCACTTACACACATTGAATATTGATTTAACACAAAATATTGAAACAAATATATTGAAACAAATCTGACACCAAAATTTTACACAATAAAAAACATTTTGTATTCGTGTTAAAATTGGTCCTTGTTTAAATTTTTGTATTAAATTTTTAATATGCACGTGTGTTGATTTAAATTGCGTTTATGTTATCTCAATATTTTGCGCTGCGTCAATTGTATTTTGTGTTGAGTCATTAAGTCAAACTCGCAAATGTTAAAATGACATATTTAATATTTCAATGTCGATTAACATATCACGGATATCAATTTTGTATTATTTTCCAGTATATTCATCTTGTGTTAAATTAATATATTTCGAAACATGTAAAAAAACTGTTGTAAAAATAAAATGTTATCTTGTGACTGACTGTACGTAATTTCGCGAAGATATATCGGTTTGCGCGCGGAAAAAAAAATATGCAAATGTATTCGGGAAAAACTGCAACGTAAGTAACGAAAGATACTAAATTAAATTAAAGTAAAGAAATCGCCGCACGTGTATTCTAAAAAAGTTGTTTCCCTTGTCAACGGATGACTTTCTTAATCCATCATTCAAAAAAATGCATCTTGCCAAGTTGAATTATCGTTTTTATCTCCGAGATTCATCGGGATCGCGAATTCAAGGATAAATTGCGGTCGATAGAGAGATCGGTCGCGTAAGAAGGCACGTCGCCTCGGTGACTGTTGCAGATGGAGATGCAGAGGAAGCCACTAACACCGGAACCACAGCGGTCCACGATAATATCGATCAGCCCGAGGATCCACTCGCCCAGAAGCGCGCCGAGAAACGACGGGCTTTACGGGTATGAAGTTCCTACCAACTGCGAGATGAGCTTTAACGGCGACTCCTCGAGAGCACGCGAGACTATGCTCGGCGGCCCGGAGCCGGCGAGGATCCAGGAGATCTATAGATCCCCGCTTCCGTTCGCACCCTCTGGCCAGATCGCGCCGCTCACGCTGAGGAGCAACGAGCCACCCTTCCAGGGCAACACGAATAGCAACACGTCCGCGCGACCGTTATCCACCGACGGCGTTCTCGCTGGCAAAAGCGGATACGCGCAACCGATCCCGCCGACCAAGCCTGAACTGTCGCACCCGATCAGCCGACTCTGCGACACGATCGACTCCGACACCGACAAGAGAGAGACGACGGACGCGGAGAAGAACGGCGGCGAGCGGCTCGCGAGGATCTTCGTCAACAGCGACAACAACAACAACAACACCGAGGCGATCGTCAGCGCGGAAGTGCCTCCGCGCGGACGATCCGTCGACGAGCACAGGTGCGACCAGTGCGGCAAGAGCTTCGTCACGAGGGCGTCTCTCAAGGTATTTGCTTCTCATTGGACGTTGAACCTTTAATTACTTGAATGTCGCTGAACCCCTTCAAAGTCTTCCGGAGTTAACCCGTAAATTTATTTCCTCAGGAATCTTTCCAAATTTTTCAACAACAATATATTAATCGAAACGCGATCTACATCTACGGTATGCAAAATTAGAGGAAGGTCGATCGCATCGAAACCGAGATAATTGAAATCAAAGTTAGTATTACACGGAGAAAAGTGATTTTATTGTTCGTGTAGCGAAGCGATCGTTGCCGCTGCATGTTCGTTGCGATAGAATTCAGCAAGAAAATTTAGTTGGCGCGACCAAATAGTAATAACAAATTATTCGTAATTGGGATTGAGACGGTTTTGTTGCCGACAAAATAGAAAATATTCTGCTGAGTAAATCTGTCCTTAGGACACGTTAATTCGCCGTTAGAAATCCAAATATGGGCTGCGTTCAGTAGGGAAAGTAGAAAGGCGTTGGCTTTGCGCTACGCTGCCGGCAACTCTGCAACCATTTCAAGATTTTCCGCTGAACGACGCCAGCGGTTGACGCTTCTCCGACATGTTTACTGAGCGCGCGCGTCATCTCTTCCAGCATACTTTTAACACGCCGGATCGCTCGGTCGAAACGTGTCAGGGTGGCGTAAATTGCTGGCTGTAAAGTGTCGTTCGGCAGAAAATCTGACAACAGTTGCAAAACCGCCGCTGCGGTGGAGCGGAAGAGCAGAGAGAGATCGGAAGAAAAACCGACGAGAGAGAGTAGCTTCATGAGTCTGTCCGATGATCATGATCACCGACCGTCTCTCATCAGGTGCACAGCCGCACGCACTCCGGGGAGAAGCCGTTCCGCTGCGCCGACTGCGGCAAGCAGTTCTCGCAGCTGCGCAACTACAAGTACCACCGGAGCGTGCACGAGGGCACGCGCGAGTTCGCGGCTACCTGTCCGGAATGCGGCAAGTACTTCAACGACCGCGGCTACCTGAGCTCGCACATGAAGATCCACCGGAACCGCAAGGAGTACGGCTGCGCGGAATGCGGCAAGAGCTTCAACCAGCGGGTCGCCTACAACATGCACGTGCGCATACACACCGGCGTGAAGCCGCACCAGTGCGAGCAGTGCGGCAAGGCGTTCTCGCGGAAGATGCTGCTGAAGCAGCATCTGCGTACGCACTCGGGCGAACGGCCGTATCAGTGCCAGGTCTGCCAGAAGGCGTTCGCCGATCGCTCCAACATGACCCTCCACACGAGGCTGCACTCCGGCCTCAAGCCGTACCAGTGCACCCTCTGCTCCAAGGCCTTCACCAAGAAGCACCATCTCAAGACCCACCTGAACTATCACACCGGCACCAAGCCGTATTCCTGTCCCAACTGCGGCCTCAGGTTCTCCCAGAGCAGCAACATGCGCACGCACTTTAAGAAGTGCAGCGTCAACAACCCCGCCGGCGCGGCGAAGGCGCGCGACGACGCCGGGGAGCCGGCGATCGACGGTAACGGGGTGGTGATTGCCGGCGGCCAGGTGGCCGGCAGTCCGACCGACGCCCTGACGCCGCCCAATTCCGACCAGGAGTCCAGCATCCTCACGCCGATCTCGAAGAACGTCGTCGTCGAGAGCAACGCGTAGCGCCAGCTCGGTTCTTCGAGGGCACGGGACGCCTCTCGCGATGAGGAGTGAAGTGAATGTGTCATTATCGTGCGAGCGAATCGTTACGTGGATCCTTACCGAGTGTTCGGCGAAAGCGGCAATCAAGGTGTGTGTGTGTGTTTGACGAGGGAGCCGAGTGTGTTTCCTGGGCAGAACTCCGCTCGCCGATGATAGATCAGCTGGCAACAGAGCGCCCGGGGGTGCCTTACGCTCGCGCAAGGCTGATAAGCGCTCGTGGGACGACCGCTATTGGTTTTCGAGCGGATACGAGCGGATAACTCGCAAATACCCGTTTTAATCGTTCGGTAAAAATTACACCCGAATTATCCGCCGGCTCGATCGCCCCTCGCGGATGTTTCCGCGTTTTCGCGCGCACGCGGACAAATATGCACTTGCACCGAGGAGAGAAAAGGAATTCATCTTAGTTTTCCTCTCTTTAACGGCTATCTCGAACGATAAACATGTTTTCTTCGGATAATAGTATGCACTGAAATATACTCGCCGCAAATATCAGAAAAGCTCATTATCATTTATTCGGAAGAAAAATATATTCTCTCTCAAGAATTGCGTAAAACGAGTAAACGATAACGAGCCTTTCTAATATTTGTGACGAGTAATACCAAAAATCTGAAAAATATTCCTTGTTCAAGATAATCATTACTTCGAAGAAAAAAACAAATTGAGCACTTGTTTTTCTTTGCGGCACAAGTAATATTTCTCTCTGTGCGCGCACGGAAGCAAAAAATTTCGCGGGTATCGAATTTCTGAGACATGCAGAATGATGCGCGAGAAATTCTTCCACTCGGAGCGAACTCTCCGCGTAGCGCAACGGCCACAATGCGCGCACACAGTGCCTTCCAGTTCCTGTATTTATTGAATTAATCACGATGAACATGTACAGAACCTCGTATTTTAATCTAATTTAAACGGACATTTTAACAGCTTTTCTCTCTTTTTGTCGGAGAGCGCGCGACGAGACTCGACACGGTTCGAGCTATCCGCGAGGGAAATTCACGTCGTTCCCTTATTTCGCGTTTCGAACAATTAATAGTTTCCTTCTTCCTTGAAAGCGCAGCGTGTGATTGCGACACCGACAAAGTCCAATTGCCGGTTGCAACATTGCCAATTGCAAGTGCAATTGAAAAGCCTGCAGCCGCTTGTAGGAAGTTATCTCCCGCACTCGTAAGTGGTGCGGAGAGACTTCGGAGAACAACCGAGCTTCCATATCAGCGCAGAGTGCCTCGTAACTCGGCCTTTACTATGAAAATGTCCCTACGGCGGCATTTAAGGATCTGTTCCTGGTGCAACTTTGTTAGCGATCAGAGCGCGTTTTTCTTCAGTCGAGTGGCTAGAAAGACTGCGAGACGACGGGATGTTGCATTAAACATCGCGCGAATACACGCGAGGAAGCTTACGAGGAGTGCGAGCGACGGTCCTCATTTCGTGATCATAATAAGGAGCGAGAAAGTTTCAGAATTAGAGCAGAGACGAGGAATCCGAAAAGTCCGAAATCGGGCGGAAAAATGCGGGCCACTCAGCGACAATAGGTAAGAGATCGTTCTTGGATTAAATGTTTATGAATATTTCACGAACGTGCGTTTTTAATTTTGATAAATACACTTGGGATGATATCCCGTACAGAAGTTTCCCAAACATTCCCGAATATAGCACAGATTCTGATCGTACTATTCAAACTTGTCCCAAATAAACGTAACATACGATACCAATTAAAAAATAAAATAACTTTAGGAAAATGTTGGATGCAGCAAATGGAATCTGTCTGGGTCTCCTATTTAAAATCACAACTTTATTCAATTGGTTAATCGGAATAGATTCCAGATCTCATAAAATTTTCTATATGGATCCCATTTTTTCCGAAGCTTTTCCGATATTTTCTTCAATATAAATGCAAAATAGAAATTTGAAAAAGAGAACTTTGGGGAACGTTGGACAGAGAAAATGGGGTCTGTTTGGGTTTCCCACTTTTGGAACACGCCTCTAAATCAAATTTTCATAGATTACCCAACCAGAATCTATCATTTATTTTTTGGAAAATCAAAATAGATTCCAATCAGACATCAGAAAACTTTCTATGCGGGATATTAAGTCGCGAACTAGCTTATGAAAATCGAGGAGGAAAATCAATAGAAAATTATTCGCGGGAGACGAGTGTTGGCTGCGGCGAGACACGTAATCCGACCGGTAATATAAAGTGCGTGTAAAAGTCGCGATCTCGTTCCGCTATAATTGGAATTAGCAATTAAGCATGTGCGAGCTATAAAATCGCAGAGAGGTGTTCAAAACGCCGGCACTGTGTACATACTAGCGATAATATATTTCATTATCGGATCTTTCGCATGTTAATAGGAGATACGTTTAATATATATATATACATACATGCATATATACACATATATATATACATGCATATATCGACTGTATGTGTAAAAATGGAGATAACGAATAAAATAAAGTGCGAATAAACCTTTATATTGTACAAGCGCGGTGTGTGTGTTCTTACTGACGACCATAAACACAGTCCCCCCCCCCATCTCCGTCGAGCAAGAGAGCGAGAGAAATATGGCAAAACGTAAAACGCAGTGATATTCAGGATCAAATAATACGACATCGTTATTTAGTAACGAGCATCTTGGTTTCTCTATTTGCCGATTCAACTCCGTTGCACAAAATACGGCACGATAGCGTGCGTATATCCCGTGCGCTCGGATTGCACGGAGTGCGATCGTAGCGCACGTACGAAGTATAACGGTGCAACACGGTGCAGAATACACGCGGACAATAACGATAAATCGCGGCACGATAGTGTCTCTCTCTCTCTCTCTTTCTCTCCTTCTCTCCCTCCTGCCGTCTTTCGGTGTCGGCAGATTATCGTAAATCTCCAGTGTGACGCAAATCGCTCGTTAATAAGCAACCGCGAGTGAATGACTTTCTCGCGGCGGCGGTACGCCGGTATTTTTGAGGAAAGCTGTGACACGCATCGCCATTAACGCGTAATGCTTATTAAACCGTGTGCCACGATCGCCGGCATCCAGACAAACATACATATCGTTTCCTCGCTTTACACGTCGCGATTACACAAGATATTAACTTGTGATTTCATTTAAATGCGCCTCTAATCTTCCCGCGAGCGCGGGATACGAAATGCATATAATTTCCCTTTTCTCCCGCGCACTTTCGTTCCCGATTACCTTAAAGATAGTTAGCTGACCCGTAAGTCAATTTCCTCGGAAAATCTTTCCGAACTTTGACAGCGTGTTAATCGAAACACCACCATCTACCGCGCGTGTAAAATTAGAAAAAGATCGACCGAAGATGAGATAATTGAAGTCCAAGTCAGCATTACAGATACAGAAACGGCTTCCGATATTACGTTTTTCAGTTCTAACAATTAAATATCTCTTACGATTTTAATGAAAAACGTGAGGACGATAAAAGAGGCTTGTGAAAATATTATAACAAAAAAATCACGAGACAGTTGGCCATCTAATTTTTCAGAAATTTATGTGTAAAATACATAATTTCTGATAACGGTTGAAATATATGATAGCTAATCTGTAAGGATTTGGCAATATCGTACGCGCTAAATTTCTCTCTCTGCCTTTTGGTTAGGTATATTTCCGAAGATGATATGGTTAAATAATCTTAAAGATCTGCATAAAGAAAAAGAATTTGCTGGCACAAAAATAGGAAAACTCTATTTTGTCCTAACAGCAAATCAACGTGCCAATTAACGTAGACAGTAAATTCGCTCAGCGGAATATTTTCTCTTATCTCAGCAACAAGATCGCTTCTGCTCTAACTACTACATATAATTATTCGTTAATTTCGTCATGCTAGCTAAATTTTATTACTGTAACGAACATGTAGTAACTACGATGCTTTCGTTACAGCGGCAACTTTATTTTTTCCCGTGCATTAATCACGCACACACATCGCACCTTCCCAATAATATTGTCACGGACCCAACCACTAACAATTCCCATTGCGTTTTCCGCTCTTATCTCGCGCCACGAATCTCGCCGCGATTTGCTCTACGGAAATTACAGGAATGGACTGTGATAAAATTACACCCGGCAAGTGCCGGGCGATCCGATTAATTTCTCGTTTTGTTACGCCGCAGAAATGCAGAAAAGAACAGCGACGTCCGGCTGCGGGCTGGGCCAAGGTGTATATACGCGCACAATAATGGCAAATCGCCGGCACGTGATGCTCCGTGGTTCTCGGGGAGTATATCAGATTACGGAAACGATCACGTAGGGACGCTGCGAGCGGATGATGGCGAGATGCGAAATAACAGATCCGCGGGATCGCGCACGGCACGTGCAAGGTCAAGCATGTGTCCGTGATGGATCACGGACCGTAGCGCGCGCGCGCGCGTGTGTGTGATCGAACCGGAAGATCGACAAAAAAAGAACCGTACAAGTGAATGCTTTTAATCCGTTAGATGTATTTGAGAGATATATCGCGTGCAAGAGGCACGGACGCGATAACGACGGCGGGACAAAAATGTTTCAGCAAGCTTACTCACTGCCACTCGACTTAAAACGAGGCCTAGTTTCTCCCGTCTCAGAGTACGTCGGGTATATATCGGCAAAACGCGGGTAAAAGGAACCGGACGAAGTTCCCTCGCTCGAAGAAACCTCGAGACTTCGGAGGCGTCGTCGTCGCTGAAAATCTCCGCGATTTACCACGGATCTCGCGCGCCAAAGAATTTCCCTTTAATTAGCCTCACATTGAAGACAGTGAAATGTCGGAATCGACCGATCGCCCCCCCCCCCTTCCCTCTCGTTCGGACAATCTGTAGCAAATGACAGCGGGGTGTATCTTTCGCGGCTATCTCGGCAAAAATCGAACAATAGCCGCGGCAATTACGAGCCCACTTTTCTCGTTGCCATTCATCGTTGCGCTCTTCTCTTTCGCCCGTTTCTCTTCCTGTCACTGCCACAGCATACGTTATC